ATTTTGAGAAAATAAAAAAAAAATCTACTCTCTACTGTGAACTGCCTCACTGTGTCTCACATTCTGATTATTCACAGGCTGCGATACGTACGTCTCTGAACCAACTGTACAAGGTCATCGGCAACAGCAGCAGTGGTCCTGCATTAAACTTCATCAGGTCCAGAGTGGAGAGGATGTCTGAGCGGTGGGTACAGGCTGGTGTGAGGATGAGGCAGAGCAGCAACAGGACGGTTGCGAGGCGGGTGAGGGTAGAAACAGCAAGTCGTTCTGTCGTTTTTATTGATGGACAAGCTAAAAGAAGAGTTTAAGAACTTGTATTAATATCAATGAAAGAACAGAAATGAGCAGCCTCTTCTCTTAATACCTGTTGTCTAATCTAGACATTGAAACATTCCATCTTCTAGGTGCTCCTTTATCCCGGTGCCCTGGCTGGAAGTGCTGGTCAGCGTTTTGAAGCCATGGTGGAGAGAGGGGGTCCTTTGGGCGAGCTGGTCCAATGGGCCGACCTCAGCGCTTGTCTGACAATCCTGGGCCACAATGTCAATCTCAGCACGTCACAGCGCCAACTCCACAGGTGACGACTTCCACTGGATCCCTCTGCTGCTGGTTGTTGATTTAATCTGAAGTGATAACGTCTGTTTGGAAAGTACAGATTACAAAAATTAAAAAAGTTTATTGAATTGATGTGACTTTCCTCTGAAATGATTAAGAAGGTTAATTAGTGGTACAATTTGTGTCTAGCCTGATAGGTGCTGCTCCAGGCCGAGGCAGTTGTCCAATCCAGAGGCCGCTACCCTTCGACCTCGTCTACACGGACTACCATGGCCTCGCTCACCTTCAGGGAGCCATGGGACTGGCCTTCCAGCATTACCAGTATACATCCACAATTGCTGAGCTGATAAATATATATATCAAAGATTTCTTTTGTTATAAACTTGTACCTTCTATTACTCTATAGATGCCGCTTCAGAATCCTGGACTCTTTTGGCACCGAACCGGCTTTTAACTTGGAGAGTTACGCAAATAGCCATGGATACAAAACATTGTGGGGCAGATGGGGTCTCCGGCCTCTGCAGTACATGACTATGTTCCGTAAGTCCTGTGTGTTTATGTGCATATTCTGATTATGCTGACATGGTGCAAATAACGTGTAATTCTTTTTATACACTGCAAACACGTGTCTCTCTGTCTGTGTGGGAGTAGCTGTGAAAGGAGACAGTTAACATATATAAATACATAGCTTGCTGCCACAGTGTTGGTTCTTTCGCACACTCCCCTCTCAGCATCCTCACAGTGAGAGGATTAATAGCCGAGGTTAAATAAACCTGGTGCCCAGACAGAGCTCTCATTCCAACACCTCTCCCTGTCGTACTTCCCGCCCCGCCGGGGGATGGAGACAAGCTGGACGGACCGGGCCGAGAGCCGCTCTTCATCCCTCAGCTTGAAGCACTGTTTATTTGTCCTGAGGAGGAGGAGGAGGAGGAGGAGAAAGGGATGGCTGTTAGCTGATGGTGGGGAAAGGGCAGGAAGAAGGGAAGAAAGCAGAGCAGAAAGAAATACATCGAAAGAGGATTGTTGGAAAAATTAATTATAAGAGAAAAGCATGTATTTGTGTTTCTTTTAAAACAGGGGTGAGGAGGTTTGTAGACTGATTCCATGAAACACAGAAAATGCTTTCACCGCATAATGTTGATGATATCTGTGTGTTGTTGCACATCTCTGCTCGGAGGAAGGAGCAAGGAGACGAGACCTGGCAACAGTCTTTTTAAACAAAGTAGTTAGAGACAGGAGAGGATGACACACACACACACACACACACACACACACGAAGAAACCCATGCACACCTTTCCTGGCACATTCCTAGTTAAAGTAAATACTCATCTCTCACACCTCCTTCAGTGTGTCATAGGGCAGCAGGGTGGCAGTGGCCTATCCAAACAGCCCTGAACCTAAACCATCTCGAAATCTCATTTCCTTTAACAGCTGATTTATAGTGCACAGTGTGTTTTTCGTCTCCAACATATTTTTTATCTCAACTGTTGCTATTCATCCGCGATCTTGGGTCCAACACCGTCTGCCCAAAAGTAATATTTGATGACTATCATTCCGTTCACCACGAGTTTATCTTCTATCGTCTTTGAGAAAAGATCTGTAGAAGAGTGTTACGTTTACTTGAGAAAAGAAATTGCATTCATGAATTAATGCATTAATGAAGTAATGAGATACATGTCTGTTTTCATGAGAAACTAATCTTGTTTAAGAAGAATTTGTTTTTTTTCTCAAGTGATTGCAATTTGCTCCCGTGGATCTCTGCACCATCTTTGATCAAGTTGATTTTTATTACCCACACATACATGTATACTTATAAACTTGAGTATAGATAAAAAAATATTATAAATAAAAGTGGTGTGATTGGAGTCTTCAGTGCTGTATGTTGAGATGCCAGTCATTCTTTAATCCTTTTAAATGATTAAACTGCTCTATGTTTCTGTCATCTCCAGCTCACACTCCTGATAACTCCTTCCTGGGCTTTGTGAGCGAGGAGGCAGTGAGGGCGGATGTAAGAGAGGAGGAGCTGGAGCCTGAGACCTACAGGAAAGACAGGATGGCAGTCGTCTATGGTAAACAGGACTACATGTGGCAGGTACAATCACCACAGGGGTAAAGTGTACTGTGTGTATGCACTGTAGAAAGATGGGGAGAAAGCAGGACTCATCAAATACTCTGTGTCCAGGGTAAATCGGAGTATGTGGAGGCAATAAGCGAGGAGCTGGAGACCCACGCCACGGTCTACCAGCCTCCAGGTCACTCGTCTAATCTGCCCAGCTTCATCAGAAACCACGGCCTGCTGAGTCAGGAACACTTCCTACGACTTCTCCGCAGAGCCAAGGTCAGATTAATGATCATCTCAGAAAAAGTAGCCAGGGAATCTGAATCACATCTATTATATGAGCTTGTGGGAGTTTTTGTGAGATTTGTCTTTCCTCTGCTGCCTCCCTCGTTCCCTGTAGGTGTTTGTAGGTCTTGGTTTCCCCTATGAGGGTCCAGCTCCTATTGAGGCAATAGCCCTGGGCTGCATCTTCCTTCAGCCCAAATTTGACCCACCACACTCATCAGACAACAATGACTTCTACAAGGGCAAACCCACTTCAAGACAGGTACGTAACTTCCCAAGGTGAAAACCCCACATAGGAATCAAAAATAGATGTTTTTAAATCCCTTTTACCACAGATTTTAATTAAAAATCAACACATTAAATACCTTTGCATCGCAGATCTCCTCCCAGCACCCTTATGCTGAGGAGTTCATTGGTCGACCTCATGTGTGGACCGTGGACACGGCCAACAGGACCGATGTACAGGAGGTGCTCAAAGCTATTTTAAGCACTGAGGTAGTTTCCAGATAAGGTTAAACATAATTTTACTTGCAGTAGCATTGAATGAAAGTGTTATTGTGTTTGTGTTTTTGCAGGTGAAACCTTTCACCCCCCGAGAGTTCACCTGTGAGGGGATGCTGGAGCGGGTTCGTGGTTATATCACCCACCAGGTACAGAGACACAGGGAGAGCTGGCATTACATGAATGGCTGATCCAACACCACACTAGACTCTCAAATTGGCCTGATCTGATGAAACCTCATGTTGAAATCAAAATAAAATAAACATATACAGAGAAGCCTTCAGTATCTGTGGCACTCACCTTTTATGAAACACATTCGCAATAATGTCATCCACCTCCATCTACACCCTAACGTAACTTTGAAATCATTAATTCCAGTTATTTTATTCTTTGTCAAGATTGCTTCAAATGCTTTTATGCAACACTGGCCACTGATAAAACAGAAACCATCGCTTGGTTCAAAAATACATTATTGTTTACTTTCTTTAACTTTGTTTTCTGAAATCCCTATAGGACTTCTGCAGTAAATCTGTCCCTACGTGGCCACCGGAGAGCGCTCTGAGGATGCACCTAGGTCCCCTGGGCCAATCGTGTGTTAGTGTGTGTCGACGCTCCTCCCTGGTGTGTGAGCCTGCTCTGTTTCACCACCTCAACAGTCCCTCTGCGTTTACCAGGTAAAGGATCACCAGGTTTCGATTTTTAAGGTTTTTATGTGGTCAAAAAAACAAGGAAAAGGATTTGCAAAAGAAAAGAAATTGTGGAACTAATCACAGTTTTATCTCTCTCTGCAACATCACAACCCTGTTAGAAACAGCCACGATACTTTAATCGCAATCTTTATTGTGGAGTTGACATCAAAATGAAGGCTGAGGTTGAAGATGGGTGTAGTCAGCATGGGTGGTAGAGGGGCTGGACTTCTTGGTATCATATCTCTTTAACTCTTCACTATTTTTCATTTTCAGGCTTGGACTAGGTTGCGCCAGCATGGGGCAGGAAGTCAACCATCTTTTTCCAGCCTACAACCCTTGGGGCCGACACTGTGGTCTTCAGCAGGAGCCTCTACTGTTCAGTTGTGCCGGCTCTGACCCTTCCCACCGCAGACTGTGTCCCTGCAGAGCTCACCTGCCTGGACAGGTGGCGCTGTGCCCTGACTGCATCTAAACACTGAAAGAACTCTGGAAGTAAACACCAAAGAGCCATCTGGAGTACATGTTGTATAGGTAAAGAATTGATCTCAACTATAGACTGGCTGGCTGCACTATAGGTCATAAACCCCACCATCTCCATGTTAGTGGATGGGACGTCGACCAAAAGAAAAAGTCATATTCATGTGAAATACATTTTTCTCAAGGATGTTTTTTGTCGTTTTAGGTAGTAGATATGTTTAAGTGTTCATGTGACAGCCAGCAACCAAGATCTCTGATTCAAGGGCCCTGAGTTTGGCATTGTTTGCATTGTGGCGCAATCTATGCAGCACCTGGAAGTATAGCACCTTCTCTGGCTTCCCGCTGTACCAGGAATGAACTGCTGTCAACCAAACAGTCCTTCTCCATATGTGTGGGCTGGTTGCTTTGCACTGAATGGTCATTAACATTTTATTATAGTGATCAGGCTGCATGCAAGTGTGATTTTGCACCATAAAGCCCATTCAGACTCTGGCTACAAATTACGTTATTGCCGCGAGATGATCTTCATGTTTTGGAATATTTTGGCTTCGTTTCTGGATAGAAGGAGGAAATGGAGGCGGGTTGTAAATCTTTATTTACAGTCTATGATCTCAACCAAAGAAAAAGCAAACTGTCCTGCCAACGCTGAATTGTGTGGTCTTGTTGGCTTACTTAGGCTGAAGGTGAAGTATTAGCTCAGAGTATTTTGTCGATATGCACATGAGTTGAAACTCAGCAATTTTCAGGGCCCCACAGAATCATCTCAGTCAGCACCACTGACATTTAGTCTTTTATAACAGTTTTGAATGCATTACAAAACAAATCAAGCAGATGCTCACTTTAGCGATTAACAATTTTTAAAACAATATGAGAGAGGTTGTGCCAAGTTATGAAATGAGCTGATTTTGTCCCGT